TTGACAGGTTGTCTCAACGAACTGTGCAATGTGCCTTAACATTTGTCATCTGTGGCTTTTGTCTGAGGCTTTCAGTTCTGTTTGCTTTTTAAGACAAGTTTTCATTGTGAGGCCCTGGCTGGCTCCAAACTGTCAGCCTGTCCTGCCTATTCCTCCCAGTGCTGGGATTACAGGTACAGGGCACCATGTGGACACTTTAGTTTCGGCAAAGCAGGATCCAAGCTGTGCACACCCACAGGTGTGAGGAGGGTGGTGACATTCAGGAAGGGAGCTTTCTTTCCCTCTGAGTACCTCTACAGCACATCCTTGAAAGAGGGCCCGTAGTTAAAACCCCCCACCTCCCCACATGGCTTCTGCCCCAGGTTGTGCAAGACAAGACTTGAAAGGAAGCATTGGTTTTTTGTTTTGTTTTTGTTTTTTCTTTTCTGAGCAAGAAACTTGACATTATTTCCAGGCAATTAACTTAAGAGAGCCTTCTGCAGCAGGGCTGATAAATGGAAACACTCTTCTGAAAGCAGTAGATTTACAATATAACAACCGGCAAGGATGTTCCAGCCACCCCCACCAGTTCTAAGAGCATAGGCTTGTGAACAATGCAGTAACAGAATAGGAACACCCAGGAGCTCCAAGTCTGTTGGCACACTGGCTTCGGGAAAGGCCTTCTACAGCAGGTGAGTGTCCCACACCCTCCCTGGACTAGCCTCTAGGTCATGCTGTGTCAGAGCAGGCCCAAAGTTCTGTGAAAGAGTAGACACTTTGCCCCAACCACAGAGCACTGAGCTGTGGCCTGGACCTCGGGGAAGACACTGGCTGGTGTCCAAAGAGGAAGTAACTGCCTGGGTCTTGGGAGCCCACAACAACCAGCTTCATGCCTGGGGTAGAGAATACATACAGGGTGCTAAGTGAGGCTTGCTGCATGTTCTGAAGGGTTTGGGTCTTGGGATGCAGAGTGTCGGCCCCACAGCATGAGAGCTTGGGCAATGCTTCTGTCCTGAGTGGGGTGGGGGCCACATAGGGGCGGCTGCCATGGGCTAGAAGAATACCCCCACTTTCTCCAAGGAAGAGAGCAAAATGCAGCCTGAGCCCAGGCTCCAGACCTGCCACAGAACAGCTGGGGTCTAGGGGAGAAGCTTGCTGTGCTCAAGGAAGACGTGAGTTTGGTTTTTAGACAGACAGGAGGGCTGGAGTGATAACTCTGAACATAAGGTGAATACAGTCCTCAGAATACAAAGTATAAAAAAGCTGGGTCGAATGATACTTGCTTGTAATCTCAGCACTGGGAAGGGAGAGACGGGTGGGTCCCAGGGCTCACTGGCCGACCAGCCTGGCCCACTTGGCCAATGAGAGACCTTGTCTCAAAACAAAACAAAACAAACCCACAAGATGGTTAGTGCCTAAGAAATGATGCCTAAGGTTGTCCTCTGGCTCACACACACACACACACACACACACACACACACACACACCACAAATGCCACACTGTAAAAAAAGACAAGAAATCACTGCTGGGTCCCAAGCTGCAGAGCGATGCAGTTGTTGCATTTCCCAAAGACCAGGCTTCACATCATGATGTCCTAGCTGAGGTGTTCCTGGTTATATCTTTAGACACCAGTTGGCAGACCACACTCTTGTTGCCCCACCCCTGTTCTCACTGTGTCAAGGTCAGTGGGTAAGCCATGGAGGCCCCTGGCTCACAACAGGTACCCAGGCAGAATAGGTTTGTGTTCCACTTTCTGGGAAAATAACGTGCAACCTCACTGAGGAGCAGCACAAAATGGGCATCTAGCATCTTCAAAACACCATGATGATGTCACAAAGACCCTGGCAGAGGACCATCACAGAAAGAGCCGCTGTACCCCTGGAGTGAAGCAGGTAAGCCACATTGGAACCCTGACCTCAAGTCAAAGCCCCTCTCCACGCACTGGGAAGGCAGGTAGAGGGGCTCCAGAAGAGGTCAAGTGTACACTTTCCAGACAGTGTGACTCCTGGACATAGTGCCACCTCAGTGCTCACAGTCTCCCATGTGGGAAGGTGCTGGTGATGTTTAGGGAAGCTGGGTCTTGCGCATGTGCTCTTCCCACTGGCTGGGAAGGCTTCCTGAAGAAGGGAGGCCTAGGCTGGGTAAAAATGAACAGCAGGGCTCATGGGGCAGGGTTCACTGTGCCCTACTTGGGCTGGGGCACATGACTAGTTTTCTCTGAGGCAGCACATTTTCCATTCTAAAAATAGCCCACGGTGACCCAAGTCATCTTCCCCTCCCAAGGAGTCCCATGGTTCTGTGCTGTTGTTGTTTTCCCAGAATTTTTGTGATCTCTGAAAGCAATGAACAATGAAACCATTGTGCTGTCAATGCCTGTCCGATGATCCCCAGACACAACAACCTGAGGACCAATATTCAACCCTTCCTTGAAAGAAGAACTTGAAGAACTTGCCCTGGGAGGTAAGGGAAGCTCCCTTTGACAAGCCTCTTTAGTCAGCCTGCCTTCTCCCTCCATCCAGGGAAACAGGGGTGCTGTTCAATTAGAAAGGGTCAGCTGTCACCCCGACATGCCATCTACCCACCGTTGTCCCCCAAGCACACAGGTTAACAGCAGGGCATGACTATGAACCTGAAGTTCTTGGCCTCTGCCTAGGCCTGAGCTAGCCACAGGACACTGGACTTCTGTCTGCGCTGGGAACCTCCCTCCATCGACTTTGGTGGTATTTCTGGGAAGTTTAGGACACAATCTTTTTGAAGAGGAGCACCCACTGCTGGTCCAGTGACTCCTGGGATCCAAGTTCCTTGACTGCCTGTTTGCCAGCAAGGGACTATTTTTTACATGTCTGAGAGGGGCCCTACTAATTGCTGCACAAGCACTTCTAGGGAAGTTCAAGCTTCCCCTGAGGCCAACTGTTAACTCTAACAGCGCCAACAAGGCACTGGGAGGGGGGTGGGGGAACTTGGTGATTTGCTTATGAGAGACACAGAATGCACTAGCTTTCTCTAAAGTATTAATAATGGCTGTAGACAAGACAGCCATATTAACTTATTCATGGCAAAGGGTAATCACCATGCGGGCAAGCAAAAGAAAAAAAATGTAAAAAGGGGAAGATAGAAAAAAGAAAGCCACAGATATACACCCTCCCCACCTCCCCTGCCCACCCCCACCCTCACACAGAACATTATATGTACAGGCCACAGATTGGAGCGAAGTTAAATTTGGCTCACAGGAATACTGGAAAGAAAGAAAACAGATCAAGTTACACAGAATCCTATTCAGATTGGGGCTCCGGCCTCAGAGCACAATGCCTGGCTAAAGAGAACAAGGCCACCGTGTGTTAAGGAAAGCTCACACCCTTCTACATCGAGCATCGAGCATCGCTTCCCTCTAGTCATCTGCTGGCCTGGTCCCGGCTGCAGGCTAATTCCCTGCTCTGCAGGTGGAGACAGATAAAACAAACCAAAATGGTGTAATGGACTGCGGGAAGCCTTTCTTTCAGGACTTGATCAGCCTCCAGACAGGAAACATGCATGGGCTTTTCTCCGGACAGCAATCTGTTTTCTTAGGGTGCAGAGAGAGGCCTGGTGGCCAGGGTAAATACAGCAACCGGTGGCAGGGATTTTTGGCAGGCTGAGTCGCACAGGAAGTTTGAAAAGACCGCTTCCTATACTGTGATTCCAACCAAAAGTGAGCTGTCAATCTTGCAGGATGGAGGTACTTGGAAAGCACCAGCCAGGAAAGAGCTGCTGCGAGGGGGAAACCTGAGTCCCAGGTGCGTGCCTGGAGTCCTCCCCAGATCCCTGTGGCTGCTTCGCCTGGCTAGAGCCCAGCCTCAGAAGCTGGATCCTACAAGTTCGCTAACTGGTGCCAAGCAGGGCTGCGGGGACAAAAAAAAAAAAAAAAAAAAAAAAAAAAAAAACCCCAGGAAGATTTTGTCTTCTCTGTGGAACAGCTGGGCAGACTGGCTGGGAAAATCAAGTTGACCAAGTGACCCCTGCATATAAAGCCAGCCATGAGATGGTCATGTATGTTTTAAACAGTAGAAATCAGACCCCGTTCCTCCCGCAGACACTCAGGATGCAACATGGAGAGGAGAGTCCCACCAGTACTTCCCAGGGAGGGTGGCATGATGGTCTAAGAATAAGCCCCATAATGCTGTGGCCCTGTGGGTCTTTTCAAAGCCATTCTATCTTATCCTATTAGGGTCTCCTGACCCTAGGTGGGCCAGACAGGGAGAAAAATCTCATTCTCACTGTACAGTGGAAGAGGAAGATACCTAAGTGGGGCTTCTCTTCGCATAAGAGAACATTGCCTAGCCTCTGAACAGACACATCAGGTCAGGCTGGGTAGCACAGGGTCTTCATACCAGGGTGTACATCACAGTCACCAGCCTTCATTAGCTGGTGCTACCAAATCTCCTCAGAATGTTGCCTTAAGGGGCTGGAGAAATGGCTCAGTGGTTAAGAACACTGACTGTTCTTCCAGAGGACCTGTGTTCAATTCCCAGCGCTTACATGGCAGTTCATACTGTCTGTAACTCTAGGATCCAACACCCTCACACACACATACAGGTAAGACAGCAATAAAATAAAAATTAATTAATCAAAAAAAAGAAAGTTGCCCTTCTCCTGGTGATAGTGGTACATGCCTTTACTCCCAGCACACAAAAAGCAGAGGCAGGTGGATTTCCGAATTTGAGGACAGCCTGGTCTACAGAGTGAATTCTAGGAAAACCAGGACAAACCTTGTCTTGGGGGGTGGGGTGCTGCCCTAGAGGCTGGAGGAATAGCTCAGCAGTTAAGAGCACTGACTGCTGTTCCAGAGGACTCAGGTTCAATTCCCAGCACCCACATGGCTCCTCACAACTGTCTGTAACTCCAGTTTCAGGGGATACAACGACATCTTGTGATCTCTGCAGGCACCAAGGATGCATGTGGTACCCAGACATACATGGTGGCAAAATAACTGCACACATAAAAATAAAAATCTAAAATTAAAAATAACAATAAAGAATCTTACCCTAACCTGGTCCCCAGCAGTGGAGGGGGCATCTAGTGTCCTTAGTTCTCACTGGGCTCTGCTGTGGTGTGAGCTCAGCCTACATCTGCAGTGTGGGGACAGTGCTCAGAGCATATGGAAGGCTGATTCAGGGAGAGATCCCATGCATTTCATCCCTTCTTCTGCCTGTGATGCTGTTGATCCAGAAACCTATGGAGAAAAAAGGTCAACATGGGAACTGTGTCTCCTACTATTCTACTTTGCTTTTGGTTGCTGTGATAAAACACTGACAAAAACTAACTGGGAGAGGAAAGTGTTTGTTTGGCTTATAGATTATAGTCCACCATCAAGGGAGAGGCTTTGGGGGAGGAATGCTGCTTGCTGGCTTGCTCAGATATCTTGAATAGCCCAGGACCATCTGCCTAGGCATAATAGTACAGCCCACAAAGGGCTAGGCCCACCCATGTCAAAATCAAGACAATTCCCCACAGACATACACCCTGCAGGCAAATCTGTAGGAGGCAGTCCCTTGATTGAGGTCCCTTCTTCCCAGATACATCTAGGTTTGTGTCAAGTTGACAAAAACTACGACATCTACCAAATGTTAGCCACGCCCTCTTGGGGGATGGCACAGGTGATGCAGACCATACACACTAGGGTGTGGTCAGTGACGTAGCAAGACCTTAAATATGAGGGTCGCACGCAGGCGGCTCTCTCTGTTCCATGGTTTGCCTGGTTTAGAGGACTGACTGGTTGCGTGAGTACGTTCCTATTAAAACATCTGTTCGTCTGACTCCTTTGGGGTACGCATTATCTGCGCCCCACTTCACCCAGGCATTCAAAGCCAATCTCTAGCACTCAGAATGTACTTCAGAATGTACCCTTAGGTGGAAATTGGGATGCTATGGATATAAACAGTTAAGATGAAGTCACTGGAATGGTCTGGAATCCAAAATCACTACAGTCATTATTTAAGGGGAAACTTGGACACCAAGGCATATACTCAGGGTGCATACTATACAACAAGACAGAGATCAGAGGGTGCAGCTAGCAGCCAAGAATGCTAACAGCTGCCAGCAACATT